ACAATCATATACCACAACTTGGCATTCCCCAATCAATGGGCATCCCTGCAATTTTCAGTTCTTGGCCACCACAAAGAGAGCTGCTATAAATATTTTAGACCATACAGGTTCTTTTTCTTTTTCCCTAATCATCTTTGGAGATAGATCAAGTAGTGGTATTCCTGGGTCAAAGGGTATATAGGATGTTTAACAACTCTTTGGGCACAATTTCAGATTGTTCTCCAAAATGGTTGGATCATTTTACAATTCCACCAACAATGAATTTGTGTCTCAATTTTTTCACATCCTCTCTCACGTTTGACACTTTTCCCTTCTATCACTTTAGCCAATCTGGTAGATGTAAAATTATATCTCAAGGTTGTTTTAATCTCCATTTCTCTAATCCATAATGGTTTAGAACATTTTTATATGACTATACATTGTTTAGATTTCTTCATTAGAAAACTGCCTGTTCATATGCTTTGACCATTTATTAACTGGTCAGATTTATCCATTCTCTTTTCTTTTCTGGCAACTGGGGTTAAGTGACTTGCCCAAGGTCACACAGGTAGTAAGTGTCAAGTGTTTGGTCTGAGGCTGGATTTGAATTCAGGTCCTCTTGACTTCAGGGTTGGTGCTCTATCCACTGTGCTACCTGGCTGCCCCTAAATTTATCCATCCTCATAACTGAAGAGAGCTCAATAATACCTAGCCAACCTAGAGGCTGAAGGTGGTGAAGATTTCAGCCACTCATTGAAGAGAGACCCTACAGGGTACAAGAGATTGACTCAATCTAAAGGGATACTGCATTGTGAAGGATTCAGAGGCTGAGCATTCCACCCACTCCAACCCAAACAGATGCAGCCCAGTGGCACAGCAACCTGGCTGCCCCCGTCTTGCAATATCCCCATGACCTAGACCAACAATAGCCAAGTAGTCATTAGCAGTAATAATCCTCTCTTTGTAGAAACCTGACAACTAGAAATCTATATCTGATGTAAACAGGAAAGAAAAACAACAATAATAACCAGGAGCTTGATTCCTTCTACAGTATAGGACAAGTTAGATCAGATGCTGAGCACCACTCCAACTCCTGCTGTGCTTTTCAGGCCTGCTTGGTCTTGCCCTGTGTCCCCTAGGTTCCTACACTGCTTTCTACTTCCCAAGGTCCCAAGATTTGGGGGGTTCAGAGTTGAATCAGAAATGATTATTTCTCTCTTGTATTAATAACTGAGTATTCAATCAGTTCAACGTCCTCACCCAGAAATTAAAGGTGTGGGAAATCTCTCTCAAATATTTACCCAGGCCAAGATCAAATCGGACAGTAAAAGAAATTCTAAGTTTAATCTAATGGATGCATTCCTGCTCATTGTATTTATTCACACAGGTTTGGTAAAGTGTTGATTCTCTCTTTCATCAGACAGGTGATATGAAAATCATTAAGTCTCTTTGACCCAGATTTGGGTGATCCAAGTCAGATACCCCAAAACCCTCATTGTAATATATCCCAGTGTCTTGTTTTAATATTAATTTTTCTCACTAATTGTTAACCAGAGTTGATTGCCACCCTGAGGAACACCTGCTCTTCCAAGGACACATAAACTGTGAGCCCACCTGGGAGGGGTTTTTGGTCTAAGAGAGATGGCCAAATGACCATCCTTTTATTAATAAACATGCTAGCATTATTAATACAATTATTAAATTACCCAGAAATTATGTCTCTTGAACTTTTCAAATGTCACGGAGTGTTGGATCTTTAGTGCTCTCTATGGCATTATAGGATAGAATGCTGGGGACCTTGGAGCCCCTAGTCCCTGGGCTATTCTGATCTGAGTGGTACTAAGCCAGTCTGTTACTGCATCTGAATTGGTCTCTGCTGCTCCCTAAAACAACACTCTGGTGATTGGGGGTGACAGGGACAGAAAGTTCTAAAGACTGTATGTATCTTGGAGGCTATGGCCTTATTTGCCTGAGTTGGTGCTAGCTTTGTCAGTGCCCCTCTTTCCTATTTCCTATAGGTGACTGGCTGACTTTTTGTGCATTTATGGGATTAAAAAAGTCACTATAGTTTCTCACGATCCTTAATCATTATTTGGTCTGATAAGAACTTAACGTTTTTGCTACAGTAAGTTTGGGGAAAGTAAGTCTATGCAAGCAGCAATCTTGGCTCCAACACAACTACACTTACTACCTCTGTGACCCAGTACTTCTCCATTCCATCCCCTTCTCCTGTTGTGCATGGTCCCAGCAGTCTCCCTTTTCTGAGCAAGGAGTTGGTTTAAGGCATTTAAAACCTAATTGATAGGCAGTCACCAGAGCTGCAATCAGAAGATGCCACTGGGAAAATTCTTCCCCCTGCCCAAGAAAAATTCCCCCCCAGATCACCACATAGCTGAGGAAAATGTCCAATGTTGGCTGTTGTCAACACAATTTAGGAAGCTTCCACTCTGAATACCATAGTCTCATACAAGGAAACATTGAGTTTATAATAAGACAGTAAAGCAAACTAGTTTTAGTGAAGGGAGATACATAAAAAATCCAGGATGGATCAACACAGGACAATCCAATAAGATTCTTAATGGAGTTAGGTGGACTTCTCTGTCTCCAGAGGGAATAGGGTATGCTCTCCACAACTAGTTAAGTGTGGTAGGTTTTTAGAGGTTTCTTATCTGAGTCCAGCAGAACCAGGCACTGGAAGAAGGGTTCAAGGAATCTGGACCTAGGGTCTAATGCTGATTGATTCATGTTAGTAGAGTTGGGGGTGGGGAGAGACTCCTGGGGGATTGGAGGCTAGTTGATATTCATACTCCCTGTCAGTGGCAAAAGGGGGAGCTATAACTGTTGGTATTTCTCTGACAGGGTGAATTAGGGGTTTTGAGTGTGAGGCTTCTTGTAACATGTTCAGGGAAGCTACTATATTCCCAAAAAGTGGACTTTGAGTTGGGAAATTTAGGGAGAGAATAAGAAAACAGCCTCCTCCACTTTTCATTTGGGGTAGAACACAAGTGATACAAGATAAATAGGAATGGATGGGCTATGATATAAATTCCTGCCTGCTTCCATTCATCAATTGCTAGTTATCTATCATCTCTAATTTATCTAAAGTTCTATTCATGCCTTTTCTTGCCTATCTTTTTATTAGACTGCTTACGTTTAAAAGGGGCACTTTAAAGTCCTGGGGTATTATAGTTAATGCTGTCTATTTATCCCTACAAAATGAATTAACTTTTCCATTAAGCATTTAGATCCTATTTATTTTGTTGGACTATATACATTTATTGTAAGAGTTTTATAAGAAGTGGAAGGGAGAAATAATAAATGCTAAATTACACGCATATAAAAAATTACACACATAAAAAAATAAAATATTGAGCCAACTCTCCCCAGGAATCAAGATTGTATAGGGGACAGTATGCCCCTATGTGTTGGGATAGATTTTAATACTTCTCTTCTTGCTATATCATCTTAGTAACTATCCCTCTGAAAATGCTAATTGATATTAATTGCTAAGTGACACTAGGGGTTATCACTGGCAATTGATGTGTTGTAATAAGGGCTCAAGAAGACAGTATTAGCAAAGAATCACTTCAATCTCCCAGGATTCTATGGAAGAGAATCCTGAGGGCGGACATATAGCTTTGATTTGGGACTAGATTTGTTTGTGAGAATGGTTGGAATTAGGAAGGATGCTCAGGGTTTAAAAAGGCTAGACAGTTCTTCTGAAAACCTATTTCAACATTTAAGTGCTTACCATGCAAGCATAGTACTAGGTACTTGAAGATGTAAAGGGAAAACAGAAATAATTTGTTGCTAAATTCAAGGAGTTTAAATTAGAGGTTGGTGTGGTGTTAGGATTATTACTACATTCACATACCTATGTCACATCATTGTTAATTATTATAAACTATGACAAACATAGCTACTATCATTATTATTGCATATGGATAAAATGCTCTCTGTAGACTATGCAATGCCTAGTCAAGAGGTTTTGGTATATATACTATTACTGAACACTAAAACACTAAAAAGCACAGAGGTCTGATACCCCATATTTTATTAGAGGCAGCAACCAATGACAATTCATTTTTTAGTACTATTGTCATTTCTTATTTTATTGGCTGCTAGGGGGCACACTAGGCAGGGAGTCAGGAAGATGAGTTCAAAACTGGCCTCATGATACTTTGGTAGATAGGTGAACCTTAGCAAGTTACTTAATCTCTGCCTCAGTTTCCTCAGTTGTAAAATGGGGATAATAACAGTACCTACCTCCCAGGGTTGTTGTGAGATAGTAGGTGCTTAATAAATGCTTCCTTCCTTGGTACAGAATAGCTGTGAGCACTGAATAGTCTCTTAAAGCTATTTAAGTTGTTCTTCATTTTTAAAAAAAGCACTTTTGAAGAAAGTGAAACACCTATAAAAGGGAAATTCAACTGGAAAGGAACTATCAAAGCTGTTCTGAAACAGGTCCCCGACAATGAAATATCAGTTAAAAAGTTAAGGGAAAAAGTTTTAGCGCAATACTATGCAGTGACTAACGAACACCACAAATCTGAAGAGGAGCTGCTGGTCATCTTTAACAAGAAGATCAGCAAGAACCCCATTTTCAGGCTCTTAAAGGAAAAAGTAAAACTCTTGAAATGAATATTTTCCTACTAGGTTAAGGAATGCACACTGTTCCTGACTTCTGCCTCCACCATCCATCATTATTTGTAAAACAGTGGAGAATTTGACAGCCACTCAGATTTTGTGTTGTTTTTTAAATGTTAAGGAAAATGTATATTTTTGGTAGAGCTTTTAACTGAAAATAAAGATAACTGCTGCCCACTATTCTAAAAAAAAAAGCACTTTGTAATTGTATCTATACAAGTCTTGCTTTGGTAGACTGATCCCCTAATATTTTATGCATATTGTTGTTACCTGGAACATTTCTCTTTCTATTGTTGCCTCTTGGATTTTGTTATTATTGCTATAGAAATAGTTGATTTCCGAAGGTTTATTTTGTAGCCCGTTAGTTAATTCTTAACAAAGACGCCTTTCCTCCTAAACTTGGCAGAGGTGCCCGGGCCAAGGACTGATAGAAAGTAGACAAACCAAAGGACCAAAGAGACGTGGAGACCTCCGGACTTTCTAGAGAGTCCCCAGAATTTCTGTTCCGTCCCGGAAGCTAAGTCCTTGACTTACTTCCGCCCTTTGTGACTCATTGTGTCTTTCTAGGCGTCCGGAGGGCCTTGGTTCTCGTCCTTCCTCCTCTCGTCTCTCCCGTTTCCAGGGGTCTGCGCCCCTCCCTTGTCACCCAGCCCAGAGCTGCCTCTGGGTCCGCGGTGAGTAAGTCTGGGCCCGAGGGGTGGGGGTGGGGGTGCGCCGCGGCCGAGTGGGCCCCGGAGCAGGGCGGAGAGTCTGCAGCCTCGCGGGGTCCACCCCGAGCCGGGCCCGGGCCCAGTGCGCGGAGCAGCTACCTGCCCGGCTGCAGCCGGAGGACTCGCCATGCCCCTGGACGGAGAACGATAAAGGGGAGATCCCGGACGGGCACGGGAGGTGGGGCGGGGGGTGTCCTTGAGGCTGGGCGTGGGGGCGTCTTGTCCGCTTCGGGGCTGCAGCCCGAGCTGGGAGTGGGGGATGGGAAGGAGGGGCGGTGTCAGCCCGGAGACGAGCGGTCCGGGCTCGGACTGCGGTCCCTCGGTGGGCCGGGGGGTGACCTCGCTGTCATTATTGCGCTGGCTTTCTGGTTCCGTGGCTGCCACCGACTCCGGGGCGGGGGGGACTGAGGTGTAAAGGGCGGGTGACACTTCGTCCTAAGGAGCCCGTCGGGATTGTTTGGTGTCCGAGGCTTGAGCTGGCACGCCTGCTGCGCCCAGGCTGGCCATTACCCCGCTTGGGGCTGTTCACGCCGTGATTTGGGCCTAAGAGGTGAAGTGGGGCGGTCTTAGGTGCAATCCCATCCTTTGTGTTCCGATTTTTGGAACTCGGTGCTGCATTTTAATGAGCGATTTGGCGTTAAGGTGTGTAGATGGCTTTTTTTGCTTGTTTTTGTTTGTTTTGTTTTTAGGTCAGGGCGACCAGGGTTGAATTGACGTCTCTATGCTGGAAATTTTGTTTGTATTCCGAAGGGCGTTGCTGCATACTTTAGCAGAAAAAGCACTAGACCCCAGAGTGTAGAGATCTGGATTCTGGCTCTGGTGTTGTCTCTAACTAGCCGTGTGACCTTGGACGAGTAACTTTGGATTCTTTAGATCAGTGTTTCCCTAATCTGTAAAATTAAGACATTAGTAAAATGAAGAAATTGAATTGCATGATCTTCCAAAGACTGTTCCAGACCTATTATTTTGTGAATAGAGCTGTGAAGAATTCAGCTGAGCTGAATCTCCTCCTTCTCTACACCCCCACAATACACAATAAGATACTTTCATCATAGAAAGTGGAAATTACATGGACTGGGACCAAAGAAAGCATTTATTGTGAAGCCCGGTTCTAGGCAGATTATGGTTTACGAACAGTTGCCCGATTGAATTGTGAAGAATTTAGTGCAACCAAAACAGAGCACGGTTGCTGTTTGCCAGCCATCTATGAAAAAACGGCTTTGTCATACAAAAGATCATTTCACTCTCCTGGAAAGTTTTCTGCTGGTTACTACTTTCACTTTAATTATTGTGACTGTTTAGTTGGCAGATACCTTTCTGGATCATTGGGCATATTTCAAAATTTAATAGGAATTTAGCTTTTTCTTGATTTAAATATTCTTTATATGTTTTAACATGCTTTGAGTTGGATCTAAATGTTAAATTAAGCTTTCGTATTAAATCTTAGCTTTTTCCTTCTAATACCTGGGGTAGAATTTCTTGTTAAATTAGCATTGTATTCACAGGGTGAAATGGCTTCATGGCTCTGTTTTAAAATCTGGTGGATTTTCTGTTTATCTTTTTTTTAAGTTTTGTGCTGGTCCATTTAGAAACAGTTTCTAGAAGAAAAGGCAGTATTTTGGGGGATGCCAAGATCTCATCAATAAGTTATTTGTATATAATGCTATGGGAAAGCTGGTTTCTTAGCTTTCTAATCTCACCTGGAGAGGATTATAGATCATAGAATTTAGGAGTTCTTTGGGACCTTAGAGGCTATTCATTCTAATTCCTTCTTTTTACAGATGGGAAAATTGAGGCTCGTGGAGTTAACTCCCCACTAGACAGTAAATTCTGAGCGAAGATTCAGTCTTCTTATTTGTATCCCCAAATACTTGAGTCTGTGCCTGGAGCTTGGTAGACATTCAGTAAATATTTATTGAATTGAATTGCTCAAGGTCACACCAACTCGAAGCACTAGAACTACTTGGTTTCCTGACAGATCATTGTCCTGCCTGCTGTACCCTGTTGTCTTCCATTTTTATTTGCATATATTATAAATGAACTGAAAAATGTTGTACAGAGTGAAATCTTCAAATTTGCAAAAGTGGTCGATTACTTCATCAATTACTCTTCCAGGTGTGAAATGCCAGATCATTGTATTTCGGTAATTTCTTTGTGGATTTTTTAGAATAGATTAGAGATAACTATTTTATTTATAAAATCATATGCATATATGTATTTATTTTGCAGGAGTTTATATTTGTTTAAAATATTCTCTAAAAGGAGTAGGTGTAGGCATCTTGTTCTTCAAATCAACTAAATCAACTTAGTTACCTAGAAAGTTTAAAGCAAAGCTTCCTTTCCCCTGCCCACTTTGCTCCTCTCACATAGCCTTTACCTTGTGTTTATTTAGTAAATACTTATATATGTACGCATTGTCTCCCTGTAGAAATATCATGAAGCAATTGGGAAATATTTATTAAGTGCCTGCTTGCGGTATCAGCTATGCATGTGGACGGGATACGTATACCCCCTCTAGCATACTCAAGCTGTCTTTCAATTGCTCCTTGCCTTCATTGCCAGATTTCTAGAAAGAATAGCCTGTATTCATGGCCTGTCCTTCCCCTTCTCTAATAATCTCTTTTCTGTTCCTACTATTCTACCCTGTCATTAATGAGATCCATGTAGGCAAATAAAATGGCCTTTTAAAATCCTCATCCTACTTGATTTCTCTGTCATTTAATATTGCTAACCCTCATTTCTTTGAAGTCAATTTAACAAATATGTATTAAGGCCTACTCTATGCAGACTACTGTCCTTAGGCACTGGGGATGCAAAAATTAAAATGGAAGGGGAGAAAAAGGTCCCAACCATCCATCAAGGAACTTGGAGAGAAAAGAAGGGAAAGAGGGAACTAGGGAAGGGAGAGAATATGTAACCCATAAACTGATAAATAAATGCAAAATAATTTGAGGGGGGGGAAAGGAGTAACAACTAAAGAGAATCAGGAAAGGCTTCTGACTGGAAATTAAGAACCATGTATGCTGGAGAATAATATTAAATTAGGAAAAGTAGGCTGGAGTCAGATGATAAAGAGCTTTAAATGCCAAGGTTAGGAATATATATTGAGAGGCAGCCTGTGGTAACTGACATTTATAGAACTTAGAAGCATTTGATACACATTATCTAATTTCAGCCTCATTACATCTTTGAGAGGTAAGTACTATAGGCATTAATCATCCTGTTTTACTAATAAGAAAATGGAAGCACAAAGGGGTTAATTTAAGTGACTTGTCCAGGTTTCACTTAAGTAATATTATGGGTAATTTTGAATCCCAGATCTTCCTGACTGAGTCCAAAAGTCTAGTCAGTAGGACTGTCTCCTCAGTAACTCTTTTCTGTTCTCCTTACTATTCTAACTTTAATCTCTCAGGTTTAGGCCCATTTCATTTTCTCATCTTCATAAATAGTTAGCCTAACCAATTCATCCTTTATGCTGTTTCTCAAGTAATCTTACTAAAGCATTGTTTCAGAACTGATTCCTCTACATATACGCAATGTATACACCCTTTTGTGGATCCCCATTGTCTTTTTAAATAAAATATAAACTCCTTGTTCTGGCATTCAAAGCCACCCAGAGTTTGGCACCAGTTTATCTTTATAACTTGATCTCATACTACCCCTCATCCCCTTTGTATACTCAGTATTCCAGCAAAGCACTTCCCTCCGCCATTCCTAGTTTCTTCCCTTTCCTTGCTGAAGGGTTTCTATTCATGCACTCCCCTATGCCTAGAATGGATGCCTTCACCACCACCACCCCTGATATCCTTTGCCTTTTAAAATCATTACTTTTGTGACCCCGTTGTTATGTTTTCCTGCCATCCTTCACTACTCTGACCCAAGCTCAATATTCCTCTAAATATCTTGTGCTGCCTTGTACCTCTATTTTATACTGTACTTTGGTTTTTATGTCCTTTTTCCCCTTTTAGATTAAAACTCATTGAAGGTAGAATCTGCCTTATTTAGTCATTGTATCTCCATCACCAGTATAGTGCTTGATGCATAAAAGGTCTTTAATAACTTTTTTTAATTTAATTTTAAAAGGTTTCCCATCCCACCTCCACCCTAAGCATAGAATCTAGTTGGAGAGACAAGTCATAGTAAATAAAATAGACAAGAAAAGTAAATAATCTTGTAAGAGAATATGATTAATTTAAAAGGCAGCTGTAGGAGTAGTGGATACAGAGGTGCCTGCTACTCACCTAAGATAAATACTGGTGATAGGACAGGTCTCCAAATCTCTCCTTCTCAGGGCCCCAGACAAATCTCTAAGAAGAGATGTGGGACAGGTGATCATCTGAATCAGTGGTAGGAGTTTCTTCACTAGAAGTTCTATGTATGTATGTATGAAGTCACAAATATGATTTAAAGAGAAAAAAATATTTTACCACTAAATGTTTTCAATAATAAATCCCATTTATGTGGCATTTTAAGATTTAAAAAGTGCTTTTTACAATTCTGTAAAGTAAGTAGCCTGTTTTATAAACGAGAAAACTATAACTCTCAGAACTTAAATGATTTCCTGTAGGGTCACATAGCTAGTAAGTATCTTGAGGTAGGATTGGAACCTAGTTCCCCTGATTCCAAGTGCAACTCTTCTTCAACTACAGAACACTGCCTCCCAGTAATAAAGAAATAATTACTGTTACAATTCCATGAAGAAAGATTATTGTGGGCTGAAAGGAATGATTTGACCTTGGCTTTGAAGGATGAGCAAAGGTTTACTGAAGGCAAGAAAACACAAGGCATATATATGTTCAGGAAAAGAGTGAGCAGATAGATTGTTTTGACAAGGTTCTGGCTGGTTGATAAAGTTTGTGAGAGATATTTGTTTGGGGACCTTGAATACAAAGCTAAGGAGTTTACATTTAGACTGTGGAAGCTATTGGAAGATTGTTAAGCAGGGGAGTAGTAACATGATGAAAGTCTCTGTTTCTTAGGAAGATTAGTCTTAAGGCCCAAAGGAATGGAAGGAAACAGATTTTAGAGACTTTGTGAAGAAATAATTGTCTGGCCTTCACACTGTACAAGATGTGGTATCTGTTGTTGCATGAATTTTCTTATCTGTTTAACTAGCTAATTCCAATAAACTAGCAGGAATCAGAGAAACGTTTTACTGCGGGGTATTTCACTCAGTGTAACACATCCCACTAGCAATTGATGGAAATGTGTCTGATAATTTAACAGATGACATTTATATATCCTCTTCTACTCAGCCTGAGAGATTAACAAAAGAGAAGATGTGATTCTTCCTGAGCAGATAGATCACTTAGATGGGGTAAAGGTACTTTACAAGGTACAAAAGAGGATTCTTATCTCTTGTTACAAAGGAAAAAAAAAATACGTCCTTGTTAGCATAGTCATTTACACTAGACCCAAGGAAGCTATACTGTTACTTTATCTGGTAGGAGAAAGAAGAGGAGGACAACTTCCTTAAATTCCCAAAGTCCTCCAAGTTTTCTTCTGTATTTATAAAAACAGGGGGAAAAGAGGTATTATAGGAGACAGGTGTCCCGCATGGTAAAAAAAAAAAAGGCAAATACAGGACAAAATGGAGTTATGTCACCTCTTAACAACTACTCTCCGTTCCCATAATTCCTTTTTCAACAATATCTACCCGATGTTACCTTTACTGACTCCAGAAGAACAAAGAATATTAGGTGGATGGAAGGGTGAATCAAATATAATTCCTAGGTTTTGGTCCTGGGTGACTAAAAGAATAGTGTCATTAACAAATAAGAGAATCAAGGTGAGGAACTACCAAATTTCAAACAATACCTGAAGCTTGGGAGGAGGGGAACCTCTTTTTGAGTAGAGAGTGAACAGTTAATCCTTGCTGATTGGGATTCATGTTGTCTATATAAAAAGATCATGTGTCTCTCATTTCATTCTCTTCTTACTTCTGTCTTTGAAAAGAAATAAAAGAAGAACTTTGAGGGAGAAAAAGGAAGCTGCTAAAGCTTAAAGAGAATTATGTTAGTAGCCTGCAGGGCCTGCTGCTGTGGGTTGCTATAAGGGTTTTTGTTGCCTAGTCTGATGCCTAGAACCATACCCTTGAAAGAGATTTAGATCTAAATTAAAAGAAGTAGGATGAATTACAAAAGAACATTTTTATCAACTCTGTGCATGTTTAGCATTGGAATAGGAATCATAACAGTTCATTTTAGGTGAGAAAGATACCACATTTTTTCAGGTTTCTTAAAAAGTAGAGATATGTGTATTCTTTTCTGTTAATGTTTTATGTTTTAATAAATGTTCTATTTTTCAGTTTTTAAAAGCTATGAAGTAGAAAATTCATGGTTCTACTATGGATCTCAGATTAAAGCATGTGCCTTGTTTCTCAGACCAGAGTTCACATAAAGAATGCACTGTTCCTCACTTATTGGCAGCAAAAACTGCAGGAAAAATCTGTAGGGGAAGGAGGGAAAATGAGGAGGAGGACTACCAGACTGGTGATTTAATTGCTGTAGGAGCTCTCTAGGAGGAAGCTTCCTCTACCCATGCAGATCAGCAGCTGTTCTGTAACTTGGAGACTTAGACAGTTGCCTAGGAACCCTCAGGTTGTTTAGTGACATGCCCACAGTCTCACCACCTGAATAGGCAGGAGTTGAATTCAGTTTTTCTTGGCTTTGAGGTAGGCCTTCTAGCCTGCCCCAGGTAAATATCATTGTGATAAACCTAAAGAAATAAAGTTAGACATTAATGTCACAATTGCTTGTCAGTTTTATTACTAATCAGAGTTGTTGCCCTCAGTGAATTCCTTTGGTGAAGGTGGGCAAATGTTAGATGCCCTAGAAACATAAGTCATTTTACCTTTTGTTTTTTAATAAGAATTTTTTGTAATTCAGGAGCAGTGCAAGGAAAAAAAAACCCTCAGATATCTCCAGTGTCAGTCTGCCTCACAGATTCCATCAGAGTGAGATCAACTCTGAACCTGAATGATGACTGCAGAATCTAGGGACGCTGCAGTCATGACCCCCCAGGCTATACAAGATAAAGAGGGACTTGTGATTGTAAAGGTGGAAGAGGAAGATGAAGAGGAACACCTCTGGGGCCAGGATTCTAGCGTTCAAAGAAGTAATAGCCCTTCTGATCCGGAGATTTTCCGCCAACGCTTCAGGCAGTTCTGCTACCAGGATACTTCTGGGCCTCGAGAGGCCCTTGGTCGCCTCAGAGAACTTTGCCATCAATGGCTAAGGCCTGAGATGAATACAAAAGAGCAGATCCTGGAACTACTGGTGTTGGAGCAGTTCTTGGCTGTCTTGCCCAGAGAGATCCAGAGCTGGTTGCAGGAGTACCGTCCTGATTGTGGAGAGGAAGCAGTGACACTGTTGGAGGATCTTGAGCTTGATTTATCAGGACAGCAGGTGGGAAAGGAGAAACGAAACATACATTGGGTGAGCAGAGTGTAGGCCTTGAAACTGGAGTAAGGGAATTCAGCATGACATTGGGGTGGGAAGTTGCTTTGTTAAAGGTTTTACTGAGTTAAAATTGGAGCTAGTTCCTCTGTTGAATGCTAGGTATCCCATTTTGTCCTGTTTTCTTGACTTTTAAATTCTATGTCCTGTGTTTGGAGGGGATGATTTTTGTCTTTTCTCTGAAGTTTTAAATCTCATTACCTCAGTGATTCCCTAATAAGCCCAGCTTTCTTGTCTTCAGGTACCAGTCCGTGTACATGGACATGAAATGCTGTCCCGGGAGATGGTACCACTGGGAGCAGCACATGGGTCTTCAAGCTTTGAATTCCAGCATCGGACACCCCAGATCAAGCATGTAACAAGAAAGCCAAGTCTTTTGCAACAGAGTGGTAAGGAACAAGATTTTATTCCTGTGGAAATAGAGGAATGACACTGAAGAGTGTTATCAAAAGACCTGGACAATGATGCTCTTTGTGTTGGTGGATTCACCAGGCTGAGGTGCTGTACTTCAGTGTACAATTTACAGTGGTTCAGTTCTATTAATGATTCACTTTCCATTTCTTATCTCCAGTTTCTTTGCACTTAGAACATTTTCAGTTTTACAATAACTTCTAAGATCTACTTATGTTTCCTCAACATGAGAAGTTATTCTTCTGTTTTGAATTTCTTCCTTTTTATACATAGTACAATTAGTGTAGTCATGACCAACTCATCACGGATGCCTATTAATTCACTGTGATCTTACCACATTTTGTAATAAAATATCCCACTTCTGTCAAAATTTGTCACTGTCTAAACATTCAACCTGTGTGTTTTCTCAAAATGCATGTTTATTATGATCAGGCAATGGAGAGAATCATTGGGAAGAAAAGAAGCCAGACAGGTAGACAGAGATAAAATTGGAAAAGCAGATACATAGACTCTCACACAGGAGCATCACTCTCTTTTAGACTACTACTGCTTAAGGCATTTTTAAAGCCACTTTTTATTTTCCCAGTTATGACCAAGTCCTCTGGTCCTTGCCCTTGGCCTGGATGAAATTGAGCCACAGGTCAGACCCAGTACGTGGATTCAAAGTTATCTACTTCTGCATGTTGTGACTCTTAGAAATCAAGAGTAGCCTGTGACAGTAAAAGACCAACTGGAAGTCACACTTGGGGCAAATCACTTTAACTTGTCTGAGCCCCAGTCCTTCTTTAGAATGAAGTTGTTGGACTGGTTTATCTTTCAGGTCTGCTCCAGCTCTAAAATGCCATTAATCGCCTTTGGAATTTTACTACCTGAAACTGAAGGATGAGTAGGCAGCAGTCACATCAGTTCTACGTTCTTTTGAGTTATTGTTCTTAGCCATAGGTGAGGGGTGGAGGTTAAAAGTAGGGGGATAGAGTCATCTTGTATTCTACATTCAAGGGGGGGTTTAAGACAGCATCAGTCTCACAGCTCCTTTCTTCCCCAGCTTATCCTGCTTCCCATGTTCCTGTTTCCCATGAGAGAAGTCCTAGAGACCAGGCATTATTCACAGCAGATTCTCAGGTGAGTTGTAGGCTTCCTCTGTCTTCACTAAGACCTTTGTTTTCATATTCTTCTGAAAGTTTCTTCTGTAGATCCTACCTTCCATACTCATTTTCAGTGTCTTACTACTCAAATTAGGCTAACTTCCTGTGTCTTAATTGCTATCTGTCCTTTCTTCCCATCCAAAAGCCCATACCCATTTAGGATCCTTTATAGTACTCACTGTTTTCTCTTAATCTTAATTCATTTGGCTCTACCCCATAGGTTAGCACTAGATGTGTTGAAAACTGTGAATGAGAATCTCATATTGTTTCAGGCATTGGTAAAAATTGAGGACATGGCTGTGTCTCTCATCCTGGAGGAATGGGGATGTCAGAACCTGGCTCGGAGGAACCTCTGTAGAGACAACAGACCGGAGAATTATGGGAACGTGTTTTCCCAAGGTAAGAACTAATGGAGGTGTAAAGGGAGATCCTTGTCTAATAAGATTTCTTTGCCTCCTGGTTTGTTAGTTGTGGAGTGTTGAGCAGAGAAATGGCTAAGAGGGCTTGTCAATAGATGAGAGCATTTGAGTTTGTTTTCAGAAGCAGGATGTTTCAACTACCTGTTCCAACGTCACAAAAACATTTGTTCACTCTGTAAAAATGGAAAAAGAGAACTTCCTTGTGTTTTGTGGCCTTATCTTCATCCCTCCAGATACCTGGAGATGACCCTCCACCTGCTTCATTGGACATTATTACTGAGGACCTTTCTTTGTCTCTTAGGAAACAAGCAGATAAATAATTATCCTTTTGAACCAAAATACCTGTTAGTCCCCTGGAAGCATATCACTGAACTTTATGGAGGGTCCTCTCACTTTAACACATATTCTGTGGTTAATTCACTCCCACTGAATGGTTTTCTAGAACAGTGCTGTGTAATTCCATAAATATTCCCCATTTCCTTCTTTGTGACCAGGATTTCCAGACTTTATGTGATTACCTACTAAGAGCTATGGGTCCAGAGGAAAAAACCTGTTAGAGAGACTTCATCTGTTTCCTCTCCTGTTGTACCTTTTCTACAGTCTTACATTTAAAATGTTTTACCAGACCAACAGAAAATGTTAATTTATTTAAAGTGTTTACAATTAATTTTCTATAGTTTTATGTTCCTGCGAGGTAATATCTCAAAGAAATAACATGCAATGGAAGCCAAACGCTAAGATTTCCACTACCATAGAAGAGGGGAAGGGAATCGGGGAAAGGGAGGAAGTAAAAATAGGCTTAACTTCCTGTTCGTTTTGTTTGGCCTTTATGATATTTTGGTCACTGAATTAAGTCTCTGTGATAATTAATTTCTTCTAAACACTATGCCTGAAACACAATAAGTTGCTGCTAGGTGACTATACCTACTTAGGGTTGCCTAGTTCCAGTACTTAAGCTTCTAGAAGGAAACAAGAATTTATTAAATACCATGTGCCAAGCACTTTAAAATATCTCATTTGATCCTTACAACAACCCTGTGAGGTAAATGCTGATTACATCCATTTTACAATTGAGGAAACTAAATTAAGTAACTTGCCCAGGATCACACAGCTACCAGGTGTCTGAGGTTGGATTTGAACTCCAATTTTCTTTATTGTAGTGCCAGTGAACAAAGGTCCACCATGCCACCTAGCTTCCTACTGTGTAACTGAAGAGCAGTGATTTAAGAAATGATCTATTTTCACTTTTCCTATAAAAATAGACATTTTTATCAAGAGAGCAAACAACTGATTTTGGCTTAAAACAATGTAGAAGTTTTAGAGCAAAGTATAAATAAAAACATTCCTAGGAATAAATATATTTATTGCTAAACTGAGCTATAATTAAACCATGCTCATGAGCACCTTTGTTTGTGTATGTTATCTTACCATGAAAGGTAAGACTTCAAGGCTTATATCCTGTTTGCCCTTTGATCTACGTTATTCTCAGTAGATCATCAGAGAAGGTGTTAATTTTGCTCCTCTCCTCTGTCTCTTTATTCTAACAGTCACTGCTTTTTTAGTTAGAAATCATAGGTATGGAGAAAATGCTTTGAGTTTCTTCAGGCAAAGGTCTATCTGGCCTCTTTGAAACTTCTTGTCCTGCTTCTTAATTGCCATCATACCGAGAGAATGCCCTCACAGAAAGGAGAGATGTTCTTTTTTGGAAACTTCTATATCTTATTAAGTAATGATTTACATTTATATACTACTTTATGCTTACAAAGTGTTGTATATACATTATTTCATTTGATTAAACAAAATAGAATGTTGTTTAAGCAAATGACTTATATGGATATGTATATGTAAATATATATATGTTTATATATTTATATATATATGTACACACATATATTCATGGTATTTTTGGGTTAACTGTAGGAATTAATATTTTAGGAAAGGCAATTGGAGTTTCAGCTTACTGTTATCCTTTTCTTTACTCCAGCTCCTAACCTCCTTTCTCCTACTCATTTCTTTTATTCTGTTTTTTCCATATTGACATTTTTTTCTTCTTGCCATCTCCCTTGCCCTCCACATACAAACTTCACCCAATGGGCCCTGTTCCTCTTGCTCATTCTCATGAGTTACCTGTTTTTATCACCCAATCTTTGTCTTTCTCCCTCTTCCCTTTCTGTCCATCTGTCTTAATTTGTTTTATTATCCATGCAGCTCATCTCTGCTGACTTAACTTTCCCTTTAACACCTCTAAAAATTACTTCTCCTGATTGTCCGTTGATGCTTTGCCTTCTTAGGCCTTGTCAGTTACTTCCCTTGTGAAGCTACTTTGCAGACGTAGCCATGTTTTCCTAGGAAACAACATCACTTGCTTATTGACCACTTCTATTTTTTTTCAACGAAAGAAATGGATGATATTTGTATTTTCTGTTTGTCAGGTTGTGGAAGCAGGACAACCAATGAGGAGTCGACTTCAAAGGAAGAGATTTCAGAAGCAACAGGATCTCATGGGGAAATATCTGGAAGATTCCAAAAAGAATTTGGAGCAACATGTGAACAGGAAAAGGAAAGCAGGTTAGAAAGGCAACAGAGAAACTTAGAGGAGAAATTAAGACTAGAAAAGACAGAGTTTAGACAGGTGACAGTCAAGGATAAGAAAGCACCCACAGCAGAACGAGGCCATCGAGAGAAAGGCAAGGGACTGGGGAGAAGTTTCAGTCTGAGTTCTAACCTTATCACACAGGAAGAAGTTCCTACAGGAACAAAGTCCCATAAATGTGATGAATGTGGCAAATGCTTTACAAGGAGTTCCAGTCTTATTCGACATCGGATAATTCACACTGGAGAGAAGCCCTATGAATGTAATGAGTGTGGGAAAGCCTTCAGTCTTAACTCAAACCTCATTCTTCATCAGAGAATCCACACTGGAGAGAAACCCCATGAATGTAATGAGTGTGGGAAAGCTTTTAGTCATAGCTCAAATCTTATACTACATCAGAGAATCCACTCTGGAGAAAAACCTTATGAATGTAATGAATGTGGCAAAGCTTTTAGTCAGAGCTCAGACCTTACCAAACATCAGAGAATCCACACTGGAGAGAAGCCCTATGAATGTAATGAATGTGGCAAAGCTTTCAACCGGAATTCATACCTTATTCTTCATAGGAGAATTCATACCAGAGAAAAACCATATAAGTGTAATAAGTGTGGAAAAGCCTTTACCCGGAGTTCAACTCTTACGCTGCATCACAGAATTCATAATAGAGAGAGAGCCTCTGATTACAGCTCCACCTCACTAGATGCATTTGGTGCATTCCTGAAAAGCTGTGTATAAAGTGAAATTTCCCATTACTTCCATATAATGTCAAAAATGTGTGCCCATGGGAAAAATAATTAGTCTCTAATATATAATCAAATCACACTTAAAAAGTACATCAAAAAGTAGTCCTGCCTTTGTCAGTCTAATCTGTGGGCATTTCTCCAACGTAACCTTCTGCAAGAAAAGTTAGTCAGATAGATGATCTTACTTAAGAATACATGCACACATTAAAATAAACATCAGACTTTTTGGGAATGAGGACACTCATAAGAAGCTAGTCAAACTTGTTAATACAAGGGATCCCTGTCTGCAGCCACCAGTGTAATCATTTAAATCCACCAAGCTTGAGATTTGTATCCCCAGTGCCTAGCATAGTGCCTGGCACATAGTAAGTGCTTAATGGATACTTGTTGATTAATTGGCTTAAACTGAGATTGAGGCATTATTTTGTCTGCAAAGCAAGCAATGCTTGCCCAACATCTTTTTGTACATCATGACCCATAGAAGGATACTTGTAGGATCCTGGGCTGGGACATGCTGCTAAAACTAAAACGTAGGGAATCAAAGGTGGGATGCCAAAGCTGAAGAGATCTAAGGCTATGCAGATCAAAACCAAACCAAAGACTTCTATCTCTTCCTGAAGAGTATGTATGGATGACTCAACTCTTAGCTCTCCATAGGAGTGTAGTTGACTCCATCCTCATCACAGAGAAGTTCTATAGAAATGACAATACTTCTCTCCCTTTTCTGAACTCCTATAGTGCTGTAGTGTTCCCGTAGTCTTATATACAATTTAGCTTTTGATTGTTTACTGTCTTTTAATTGTCTCATGAATGTAGTAAATCTTATCTCCCCAACAAGATTCTAAGGAACTGATCTCCTACCTAATAGCCTTAGTAAGAACTGATGGGGGATTATTGTCTGATGACTTATTTTGTTCCTTGCTAAATAATTACTCACTGACTTCTTACCAGGGCTCCCACACTGAAGCAGGAGCCCTGCTAAAGTAGAATAACCCAGCCTAACTTCTGCAGAAACCACCATTTGTTGCCATGTAAAATTCTAAAACTCTTGTTGAATGCTCTTCTCCTCGAGCTCTTTAAGCATAGAAGGAAGGCCCTGCTTACATGCCTACTTAAAAACTTTTTAAATATATAAAGTATTGGCTAAGTACCACAAGATTTCAGAGGCATCGTTTTTATCACCTTTAAGAAGTTAATTGAAACAATGACTTTGACTCCCTTTGGTGGCTATCAGTGGTAAGATGCTAGCCATAATTCTCTCATGTTAGCTCCTGCACAACATGGCCAATAGGGTGCCAGATGTGATCAGACAAGTAGGACCATCACCTGTGTACTGGATGCTGTGCTTCTAACTGAAGCCTGAGATTGTATCAGCTTTTCTATTGCTGTGTCACACTGCCGATCATATTAACTTTCAGTTCTTTACAACCCCATATCTTTTTCAGACAAATTATCATCTAAGTCACATTTTTCTCACCTTGTGCTTGTCAAGCTAATTTTTTTCAACCCAATTGTAAGACTTTATATTTACCTCTATTAAATTTTTTAGTAGATTTATGAGAGGCAGTGTGACATGATGGATAGAAAGTTGGCCTTGGCCAGGAATATCTAGGTTCAAGTCCTGCCTCTGACACATACTGGTTGTATGGGCAAGTCACTTAACTTCTCAGTGCTCTAGGTAGTTGCCTATAAATTGCAGATAACAGTATCAATCCACATTGCTAGAGGAAGTTAGTCACCAGCAGTGCCAGTCCCTGTCCTTAATACATTTGGCTTATCATAATAGCTTTGTAGAAATATTTTGTTGCATCCTGATTATTACTACTAAGTTAGCCAACTCCCAACTTTGTGTCATTTAAAAATTTGGCAAGTGTGCTACCTTTGCCCTCTATTCAAGTCAATAAAAATAAAAGAAAAATAACATAAGGCTAAGAATGGATCTGTGGGGCACTTCTAGAGACTTCCTTTTCCTCAGCAGTGACCCATTAATAACTATTCTTTGGGTCTGGTCATTCAACCAGTTCTGAATTCACCTAACTGTATCATTAACTAGTCTGTATCTTTCTATCTTCACCACAAGGTTAGCATGAGAGGATTCATCATATGTTCTGCAAATCTAGATAAACTATATAGTATTTCATTCATCCAGCAGTTTAGTATATTCCTGAAAACAGGTAAGCAAAGCTACCTTACTAGCATATTTAGCATGACCTATTCTTGGTGGAATCATAATAACTTAGTGATCATTTCCTCTTTTCTGGATTATGTGATAAAATTTTGTCAGGAATTGGGTTAGTTCACCAGCTTATACCTTGCAGATCTCCCTCCTTTTCTTTCCTTCTGGAAAATGGGGACAAATCTGCTCTTTGTGATCTTTCAGAAATAACTAAAAATGGCCCAGTAATCACATCTTCTGTCTCTTTCAATACCCTAGGACCTAGGTTATCTAGACCTGGTGACTTGAACTCAAGAAGAATAACTGGGTGTTCTCACTCTCTCCCTATTTTGGATTTTAACTTTCTGTTAACCATTTTTTGATTCATCTATTCTTGTACAAGGATTGTTTTTGGCCAAGAAAACCAACAAAATAAGAATTAAATCTGCCTTCTCTTTATCATCTCCATAGATTTGTTGTTGTGGTCCTGTCCCTTTGGTCCTTCCCCTCTTCTCATCATAGTAAACAAATGCAAAACTTTTTTTTCTTTTGTCCTTAGTATGCATCAACAAATTAAGCTTATTCTGAACTTTAGGATTCTTAACACTGTTCTTATAAGAATGTTAGTATCCTTTTTCTGCTTTTGGTTCCACCTTCTATACATATCCTTTCCAAAAATTAATTTGTTGATGTGTATCCACATCATTCTCTTTAAACCAGTTCCCCTTTTCTTCCTCACTGGAATTGTTGATGTCTTTAGGATCTAATACTTGGGAACTGACTTCCTCTCTAGAATTTTAGACCATGAGATCCCACCTAACCTTTCTATTCTTTGGAGAGTTTATGCCTTAATTTCCCCTTCTGTTATCACAAATTCTGAAATAGAGTAGTCATTTCTCCATAAGGTTCCTACTTCAGCAACCTTCAGCTTCCTTTATTGCCCAGGAGCAGATCCATTCCAAGAGTTGTCTTAATTGTTCAACCTTTTGGAAGAACGAAATCACATATTCATTGTTATTAAGCCTTTTTGAGCTAGCCATGCTTCAGAGTACAAATAGGGAGCAAAAAACTAGCAGGCAGACACTTCCCTGTCAATAAATCACAAGTTTCATCATAGGTTATGGAAAAAGTCATCAAGAGCATGTAGAGCTGTTGATGGTTGCCCTTTAACTGGGCATGGAAAATGACATAAATGGACTGTTCCGTCCAATCTTCATAGTACACATTTGCCAAGATGTACAAAACTGCAGCATGGAAACCGTACACACAGCATGAAAATCTTAACTGGAGAAACAACTGAAAGCTATCACTGAATTCTACAAGACTTCACATTGTCCAAGAATTCACTGAACACAACCAACAAGTTGGAAACTAAAATTGCAAAAGATAGCAGGGTTTTATAAGAAGCTGAAAGTCAGGCACCAAATAAATTGAATCTCTATAGAGCTGCTTTTTCTAACATCTGTTGTGGCTCTGTAACCTGGACCAGTTGCTCGAGCTGGGTTATTAGTGACATCTGTGGGCAATCTTGTTCTGAACCTGAGTTTAACAGGACCAGATCATCATTAACCAAGTCCATGAATGTCTGCATTATATTAGTAAAAAGTAATGCTTAACACAGCTGATCTGGACATCGAAAAACAGGATACCTAGGTGGCAGTTTCACAGAATACCTGAAGTCAAGGATTCAGGAAAAGGGGAAAGAAGAGATACTTTAAGAATCCACTGAAGTAGAGCCTCCTGAAGTGTGGCGTAACTGTGGATAGATGGGCAACAATTCACAGACCAAACTGATAATCCAGAAGGTTTGGAGTTGTTTTTCCTTTTGTTTTTTTTTGAGCAAAGACTTTGGATCATCCTGTATTCTAGGAGGCCACAGCAAAAACAGTAACAAGTTGTTCAGAAATTTCAGCTGGACAGTGTAGGAAGGACTTTATAATTCTCACGTTGGTCTTTTCAGCTACATAACTATACCTTCATCTTCAAAAATTAAGTATTATTATAATGGAGCCCAGTTAATTTCCATTTTGTTGAGACTTCTCACTAATTTGGATTTGTCCCACTGGCTCAGCATTGGCCCAAGATATGACAAAACTCATTAAGTGGAAGAAGAGCCACATGGAGAGATGCTTTTTCTAAAGGTATTGCTGACCTTAGCCACTGACTAAAACAATGACTTGGGATATCAGTTTATCAAATATGACATAATGTAATGGTGTTGTAAAAGGTAGGGCTTCCTTTCAGCACCAGTGTAATTCCGGAGTAACCATCTAGTCATTTTATCCCTTTAAAGCACCATATAGTTAAATGCTCAATAAGGTTGTCTATGAGTTGACCCTGTGAAATTCTTTGAAGGGTTTTGTTTTATGTTTTGTTTCAGTTCTACTAGGAAGAAGGAAAAGAAAATCTTCAATTTGCTAGTAATTTGAAGTTGTGTTTTGCTTCCAGTCAGGCAGAAAGCTAGAATCCAGGAAATAAATATGCAAAACATCTAGATGTGTAGTGTACTTATATATTTTGATAAATGAATTAAGGGAACCTGCTAGGTGAATATATACAGAGAGAGAGAAATTTGAGATGGGTGTTGAAGTTGATACTTTATCTTATATAAGATAATTCCTTCCGGAGAGAGAAACCCTTTAAATGTGAAAAATGTGGCAAGCATCTGAGCCCTTGGACTGCTGCTAACCCTATACAGTCTTTATTAGTTTTTTAAGTTTGCACCTCTTTTTACTGGAAAATGAGTTCATCCAAAAGTAATTGCAGTCAACAATAAGCCACCTTTAGAAATCTCACAGCAGATGTCTGAGAAAAGGCTGCTTCTAGACCACGTATATTGCAGTCCTTTCTTCCTTTGATACCATAGATTTAACTAGATTGAACAAGGCTTTAGAGAAAAAGGTTAGGTTGTAGCAAGTGGTGCTACAAAGGTGAAACATAACAGATTTGAGACAACTGATCTAAACATTTACTTCATTTGACACCAGGAAATGGCAGGTTGCTTTCAAAAAGTGGCTTAATGAATTTAGAAACCTTGTAGGGGGAGCTCAAACTTAACTCCAAAGGATCAATAAGAGAAAAAATGAGACCATAAGGAAATAACAATTGTACAACTTTTAAGAAATTACAAATATTGAGTGTCGTCTCTGTTACTTGTAACCAAAATGTCAGCATTTGTTTTGTTATTCCATTACTTATCTATTCTGTAAGCCCCATGGGGTCAGGGTATGTATGGTGTTTATTGTTTAAAAATTTTTGTAACATAACATTCCCTTTTCACCCTACCTTGTTCCCCCAGATTTAAACAGCAGAGGTTTGGAGCAGTGAAGAAGAAAACAATTTAGTTGTAGACAATAAGAAACGCCTCCATGGCGGTTCTTGATGTTGAGTAATTTTTCAGTCACATCTGACTCTTCGTGACCCCAGGTTTGGTTTTCTTGACAAAGATACTGGAGTGGTTTGCAATATCTTCAGATCATTTTACAGATGAGGAACTGGGGCAAACAGGGTTCAGTGATTTGCCCAGAGGTCACACAGCTAGTATGTGTCTAAGGCTGGATTTGAACTCACTAAGATGAGTGTTCCTGACTCTAGGCCCAGCTCTCTATCCCTGTGCCACCTAGCTGCCCCTCTGTGAAGGTAAAGAAATTAAAACAAGCAAGAGTTTCATACTATTTGGTGTCAGTCAAGTTAGGGAGACCGATAAACTCTATAGAATAGCCAGATTTGACTGGTAGTTAAATAGAAGTGGTTTCTCTGTGTCTCAGCAGAGGCTGGGTCTTTAACTATCAGAGAAGGAAATGGATCCTTTGTTGGCTTGGTGGGGGAAGGTGAGAAAATAAAGGATCAGGAAATATTACAAAACTGAAACTAGTGAGTACCTTGAGAAAGTCATCGGGTCCACCTATGCTGCCCTCATTCCATGACATACTAATCCAGTAATTTCGTATTTTTGCTTTAAGAATTTTGGACAGATGAAGACATGGGCCTCATGCAACTGCCATTAGACTTTCAAAAGTTACCTTTAAAGGTTTCTTTATGGACAGTACCCCTGGCATATTGAGAATGAACAGGAAAAGGTGTTGTTAAGGTGGTTAGATGTGTAAGATTTATCTTCATTTTTCCTGGTTATTTACTTAATAACATCTTAGGATTAGTCATCTTTATTACGGTAGCCAGTCAAGCAATTTGTTAGCTACTCAAACCCTAGTGAACTGTTTGTTCATAGGCAAACTTAAAAGAGACTTGGTTTATAAACTAAAAATTTAAATTTCGTTAGTGTCTGCCATTGCTAGAGGAGCTATATTTTGATGTTTCCCAATTTTTATCTTAAGCAGAATAGGTGTGTGAAAGGGATGGGAAGGCATTTTCTACTTCAGAAAAGTTAAGATCAACCTGGCAAAATTACTAGGATGAGAAGAAAAAATTGGATACCGTTAAGGAATGTTTACATCCAAGGTCTCTGGATCGCTTTTGATTTGTCACTCAATTTAGTAATTTTCATTGTTGTGTGTTTTAGTTTGACAATCTTAATTCTTCCCAAGCAGTAAATGTAGAAAATATCTCTACTAAACATTTAAAAGCAATGATTTGATAATTTTCTGCCATCTGAAAACTAAATCTCTTTCATTTTTCAGCTAAAGTACATATTTTTAATTTTTTGTCCAATTAAGTTTACAGATTTGTCAGCTCAAAGCAAGTTTTAAAATAATTTAAAGCAAGTCTATATAATCTACTGTTTTTTTTCTTCAGCAACAAACACCCACATGTACTATTCAACTCGTATGACCTTGGGCAAATTGTTTAATTTGGGTTTCTTCGTCTGTAAAATGAAGGGACTAGAATAGATGATTTTAAGCTTCTCCATTTGTTCTCAAGCAAAGAGAGGGAAATTGGAGAGGACCGGCATCTGATCTCTGTTACAGCCCTCTACAAAATCTTCATGATTTTTTGCAGGGGACTTTTGCCCCTGTAGTGGTTACAACTAATCACTGAGAACATTCATTGGTTTCTGAACAAAATGTTTTTTCCTCTCTGCAGTTACTCACTGCTTAGACTTCTTTAGGGGAATAAAGCTGAAGACATACATTCAGAGGGCAAAGATTTTATGAACGATTGAAAAGATGGTATTTTCATTCTTGTATGAACTCAGTCATTAACCCTTGGATCCAGAAGAGTGCAGCCAGGCAGCTGGTGCAGCTTCAATTCACTGACATCTTTCGCAAGGGTGAAGATGGATCTTGGGAGCCAACAGCCCTGTACCCTGAACTTAGCGGGGAGATGGAGGTGAAACTAAAGGGTAGTTGGGAGGAGGTAGAAGAATGAATGTAAGCATTTTAATCTTTAAATATTTAACTTGTCTTCCACCCTAGTTAATTACAGGCAGCCAGATGTTTTTAAAATGTCAGCCTTTCTCCTGGCAAAAACCAAAACATTGGCTTAGAGAATCTTCTGCAGTTAGTGGTGTTCCTCTTCCGAAACAAAAAAATAGGATGAGGGAAGGGGAAAAGGGGATGGGTGAATTAAAATTCTTGCTTTTCTTAGATTATATGTGTGAGGGTTGGGGTGGGAGTATACAGTTAAGATTCAGTAATTATTTTAAAATAAGTTTTTTTAGGCATATACACACTTTCAGCTTAGTCAACAATGAGAAACCTAATATATTGATTTGTGTAGTTAATTCAGGCTTTATCTTAATTTGTACACTTAGATAAAATTTTTTCTGCTTTTTCAATCCCCAGTTTTGCAGTTTAGACTAAATAAATCCAAAGTAAGAAAGACTTTACAGAAGAAGCTACAGTAGTGTCTAAAGAATACAGGTCCTTAATATGTACTTAATAAATATTTAATGAGTTCACTGATGTGAGTTTCTTTAAATCTGCATGACTGAGTGCTAATATTTTAGTACTTCATGAAGTAAATGGTAATAAGATTATGATTTGTAATTAATGATCTATGTTGGGGAGGAAAGGTTCAGATTTTTCAAAATTAAATATGGTGGTAAGGTTGTGGATGGGAAGTTATGAGGATTGTATTTTTTTTCCGTTTTATGTTACTTGGGTCATGGTCAATCAAATGTAATAAATATTCCACCTGTAGATGACAACACTTTGCTTTCTGACTCTGCTCATTCAGAAAAAATGCTTTCATAGGATGAAGATGAGAATGAAGTCAGTAGAAGATAAACTAGACACTATAATCTGACACAAATCTAAAATTATTATTAAAAGTAATTAATTTTACCCACCTCACCCTCCAAAAAAGAAAAAAACAGAAGCACTAACTGCCAGTGGCTGAATTGACTCATCTCAGTAGAATGGTTTCCTTTAACCTTCCCATCCTAGGAACCCTCTAAGTTTGAGCCAATAGTTACATTCTTACTTTGTCGTAGCCTATTTATGAAACTTTTTCATTTTTTGCTGTATTGTTCCAAATGATTTGAAACTTTTCCAGATGTAGTTGAGCTTTCACTTAACTTAAAGAACTGAAGGAACATTTTTGTTTTAAAAAACAAAGTCAGTTTTCCCTCCGTCCTTCACCCCATTCAATATAAGTTCATTGTAATGAATTTTATGATGACTTGGCTCAAGTCACTTTTCAGGACTACAGTTTTACCATCCTTAAGGAAGGCTCCTCTTGGCTTACAAGAATGTAGAGAATAAAATCAAAGCTTATTTTTAAAAATGCAATGTTAAAATGAGATAATATTTTAAAGGTGTTTTGCAGGCTTCAAAGCACTATATAAATGGCTAGCTATCAGGGTGTGTATTTGAGTGCATTATTTGGGGGGGGTAGCAATAGCTTTGCTACTGAGTTATTTGCTTTCAGTAAATATATGCAGAATGTTAAGTAGCTGTTCATTATATATGTTGTATAGAGAGAGAATTCTAAGCTGCCTAAGAAGTGCTGCTCTGCATAGGGTACACATGTAACTTCCTCAAAAATTATAATCCTCAGATGGGACCAAAAGTTTGTATAGGTATATATGCAGAATAATTTTGTAAGGGACTGACCTCTACCATTTCTTCTCTCTACCATGCTCTTCATCCTCAGCTTCAATCTAAAACCACAAATCCTGCCCCCTTCATAGGACACTTTTCTATAACTGGGATGAAAGTGATATTTCAGAGCTGGTTTCAGTTGGTCGTGTGGAAATTGCAGTTGCAACATACACATACCCCTTGTTAACACTGGATAGCTAGGCATAACTCATCATGTAGCATTTGTGTCACACTTTACATGTATTATCTCATTTGATTTCTACAGCAATCTTGTGAGAGTAGATGCTGTTATCAGCCTTACTTTAAAGATAAGGAAACCAAGACTGAAAGAGGTTGTGATTTGGCCAGGTCATACATCTGGTGTCTGAGGCAGCATTTGAATTCAGGTCTTTTTCATAGCCCAAGTCCTGACTGCCTCAGTTCAGATAATGTCCCTAACTAGCCACAAGTTCATTAAGGGCTTTGTGTTTTGGTACTTCCTTGTCTTCCCCCTTGACTTTGTACTTTGCCTGCTATACCAAACCTAGATTGTCCCTGTCTAGTTTTCTCTATTTCTGCTCCTGAGCTGCAGAGTGGTGCTGGGATGAGACGCAAAACCTGGGAGACTCACTATTTTCATGTTGTCCATCATCAGCAAGTCATGCCCTTGTCACAAAAATAGGCTCAATCAAACTAGTTACCAAGTACTCCCTAATAGTGGCTGTTCTGCACTAAACCAAGACCTTAACACACACACACACACACACACACACACACACACACACACGCATGCTCTCTTCTGGTAAGGACCTCACCTGATTACTGAAATCAACACTCTGAACTAGCTCTTGTACCTTTATCTTGGTCTTAATACAATCTTTGTCTTTACATCTATCCTCTTGTACTCTAGGGCCTAGATTCTCTCAATGCCTGAGGAATTTCTCTTTATTATCTCCCTCACCTTGCTTTACCCCTAACATTATTTCCATTACAAATAGTTCTGGCTCATGGTTTTAGATACTATTCATCATTTTAAGGAAAGCTCCATTTTTTCCTAACCTTTATAGTATTTTTTTTAAAATAGGAATGAG